GCCCCAGGGGCCCCCACATTTAGAGGGGGGGGGGGGGGCCCGAACCCAGCACAGGCCGCCTGTAGTGAAGGAGGATGGTTTCGCCTCCTTGCCATGATAACCAGTTGATCGGCAGACTCCTCCCCTCCAGGAACCCTGGCACCTCTGCATCGATGGAGGGGAAAAGCCTGTCAATCAGCTTGTTACCATGGTGAGTGGGCGGGACCATCCACTGGGCATACCTTTCAAAATCCCTTCTGCTCCCTAGGCTGTGCTGATCAGCTGAAGGAAGGACCAGAGACTTTCAGCAGATTTGGCTCCACCCCTCTGCACTGCCCACAGCCCTTGGTATCAGGAGTCCTACCATGAGGTAACCTGCAGGGGGTGAGCAGCTTAACAGAGAGTAGAGGAGTGGGGAGGTCAGCAGTGTAACATGAGGGACGTAGAAGGTGTGGAAGTTAACAGTGTTGGAAGAGGGTGGCAGCCATCAAATGCTCTTCTAACACTGTTAACTTCTGTAGCCTCTGCATCCCTCTTCCCACAGTGCTCACCCCTGCACCCCCTGGCAGGGTTGCAGATGTGAGCAGTGTAGGAAGGGGGTGCAGATGTGATAAGCATTATAAAAGGGATTCAGGGGGTGCAGAGGTGGCAAGTGTAGGAAGAGAGATGCAGAGGGGTGCAGAGTTGAACAGTGTAGGAAGAGGGATGCAGGGGTTGCAGATGTGTGCAAAGTAGGAAAAGGGATGCAGGGGTGGACAGTGTGGGAAGAGGGATGCAGGGGGTGCAGATGTGAGCAGTGTAGGAAGAGGGATGCAGGGGTCGCAGATGTGAGCAGTGTAGTAAGAGGGATGCAGACGTGAACAGTGTAGGATGAGGGCCGCAGGGGGTGCAGAGGTAAAAAGTGTAGGAAGAAGGATGCAGGGGTGCAGAGGTGAACACTGTAGGAAGAGGGATGCAGGGGGTGCACAGGTGAACAGAGTAGGAAGAGGGATGCAGGAGGTATGGAGGTGGGTAGTCTAACAAGGGGAATGAAGGTAGTGCAGAGATGAACAGTGTAGGAAGAGGGATGCAGAGGTAGGCAGTGTAGGAAGAGGGATGCAGGAATGTATTTTTGGGTGGGACTTGTATACTGTCCGAGCACAAGAGGGCCCCTTAATCTTGTATTGCCCGGCGGTCCCATGTGTTGTCAATCTGCCCCTGTTTGTAGGTAAAGAAGAAATTTAGGAAGATGAAAAATCCCTATACAAAGTGGTTACATTCCTTCTAACAGAAAAAAAAGACTCCTTGAATGGGAACAACAGTCTGTGAGGGGATTTCTCTCACTATTCCCAACCATATCCTAAGGTTAAAAAAAAAAAATATTTAATGCTAAATATAAGCACTACTAGAGCTCTCTGAACTGTTAAATTATAAACCCGTTGATTGATTTGAATATCCAATCAATCAATGATTAATAATGAATAGTTTTGTACTCAGGAACAGCTTCTGGGTAACTTGCATACATAATGAATACATCATGCCATTGTCAGCCGCTAAAGCATTTTTAATGACCAACAACGACCCTCATTTGAAGTAATGGGAACACTGTGTATGCATTTATTAAACAATTGTAAATCATTTGAAAGGCATTTGAAACAAATATTTAAAAAAAACCTCACAGTTCTATGAATCTAAAAATGCATAACATCTATACTAATTTAAGACTCTATACTTCCCATAATTCTTCCCACACAGAAGAGGAGATTCAGCATTTACTAATTTGAATGTTCAGCGAATGTTTTGGGGATAACCAAAAACCTTGTTTTTGCTCTGTGAATGCACAGAAAATGTTTGTTGAATGCTATAGGAGTCCGACTAACCTTAATTATAAGTTGGAAGCAACATCTGTGTGGTTCAGAAAAGATAAAATGCACTGTGTACATCTAGAACAGTGAAATTAACTATGGAGAGTCTTTATAAACTCATACTTACCACTAGTTGAATCTAGGAGTTGTCTTATTTTAGAACTCAAGTCAAACAGGACAATTTTGGAAATAGGTGCTAGTTAGCTGCTTAACACCAATATTGACAAAATATAGTGAAATAGCAGAAACAAATTGTTACACTTACCAGGCAAAAGACTGCTGAAGGCAACAGTCCTCTGGCCAACAAAATCCCGTCCAATTGGATCATGGTCCCATACTAAGAACCTCACGAGTGCTACCTCCGGCATGTGGATTGTAAATGTGAGGGTCTCCTCCCACACTGGATTGAATCCTGGGATAAATATTGTATATAAATGCAAAGACAAAGACACATTACATTTATAGTTTGTTGAGATTCATCTTAATAATTGGTATGAAAGGTACCCATGCATGTGTATATTATCTCAGCTCGGGGGGCTCAAAGTGAACTAAAAAAAAAAACTAAGATGTGCTATGTTATAAGGAACACCTTTAACCAGTTGACATCCGCAGTGTTAAACCCCCTTCCCATCCAGGCCATTTTTCAGTATTCAGCGCTGCGGTACTTTGACTGACCTTTATTCCGTCATGCAGCGCTGTACTGAAATTAATTTTATACCCTTTTTTGGGGACAGATAGAGCTTTCTTTTGGTGGTATTTATTCACCACTGGGGTTTTTATTTTTTTACTATATTAAGGAAAAATCACCGAAATGTAAAAAAACCAAACAGTTTCCCCTATATTAAATGATAAAACATTTATTATTACCCAATTTTTGGGTAAAATATAAAAGACGGGGTCACGTCGGGTAAAAAGACACCAAACATGTCAAGCCTTAAAATTGCGTGCGCGCGCAAAACCTCAAAAAACGATAATACCCAAAATTGGCCATAGGCGACGCTTTAAAAGCTGTTACCGCTCATCAGTTTAGTGTTATCAGTGATTGATGGCCCTA